GGTCTCACTCTTGCTCAGGCTGGTCTTGAACTCCTGAGCTCAAGTAATGCTCCCACCTCAGCCTCAGGTCAAATCTGGCCATACTTATTTTTGTATAATCTGCAAACTAAGAATGTTTTTTACATTTTTAAATGGCTGAAAAAAATAAAAAGGATAGCATTTCATGACACATGAAAATTATGTGAAATTCGCATTTCAGTAGCGTCCATAGAGTTTTATTGGAAAACAGCCACACTTGTTTGTTTACATATTGCTTGAGGCTGCTTTAGTGACACCACAGCAGAGTTGACTAGTTGTAGTAGAGACCATGTGGCCTGCAAAACCTTAAATATTTACTATCTGGCCTTTATAAAAAAACTTGTAAACCCTTGTTCTATACTCTTCCACAGTGATTACATTTTATGAAATTCCAATTATTTAGAGCATAATTGTCTGATTTTTTTATTGGGTTTTTTTTCTTTTTTTTCTTTGCTTTTTGTTTTTTTCCTTTTTATTTACCTTTTCATTTGGTTTGGGATTGTTTTTTCCAAAGTTTCCCCTTAAATTGTCTATATCTTACCTTTTTTTAACAGACTGAGGGATGATTTGTGCCTGGCTGACATGTAAGACTGTTGATAATTACCTGTTATTGTTCTAACTATGGACCGCAGCCATTTGTGGTTTGCATGCTGCTTATGTTCATTTATCGAGCTGGTTATTTTTAAACTTCCCCGTGTCTTAGATGCAGAAATCACTCTATTTTCTTTCCTTTGTAGTGGTTTGTTGTCTTCTGATTATGTGGAGATTCACTACGAAAATGGGAAACCACAGTACTCTAAGGTACGGTTACTACTGTCTGGAAATCCTGTAGTATAAGTATACTTCTTGTGGGATTGAGCAGTGTACACTGCATTGTTTTGATGTCTATCTCAATAAAATCACCTGTCCTCTTACACAGTGGTACTGTTTTTAGTGAGGAGAAATTTATTAAAACTTACAAATGTTTGAGCTAACATTAGAGATTCTGTATATTCAGGACAATAAAGAGATATTTATTGTTTTAGTCATACATATAGTACATTATGTAATGGTATAAAGAACTACATGGTTCCCTATCAGCCCCTTAAAGTAGTAGATAAGGAAGGACCAGGCTCAAGGTCATCAAATCTGAATTAGAAGACTGGGTGGGTTACTACAATGACTATTTACCAAGAAGGGCTGAGGACAGGTGGGGGAAGTAAGATTTAGGATTTAGGGAGTAGTTTTCTTCTTAACCTTCACAACATTGAGGTAGATGTGATTATTCTTGTTGTACAACAGAAGAAAGTGAGGCAGAGAGAGGGCACATAAACCTGCTCAAGGCCACTGAGCATTGCCATATAAAGGTAATTGGATTTCCTTCAGTGGGAGATTAACTTTTCTTCTCTTCGTGGAGGATCAATAAGGAGCAAGTGGATTTAGATTAAAGCAAGAGAGAGACTATTTGTATGCAAGAAACACAGTGATCTCCATCAAGGTGCAAATCCCTGGAATGGCTTCACAAAGAAACTCTGATTTTTAGGGAATCAACAGAGTGCCATTGAGCCTGAGCGGTACCCACAGATACCAGGGGCATGGGAGAGGAAACAGAGGGAATCAAACAAAGTGGGGAAACATCGCTGGATTTTTTTTTCTAGATTGCCAACAAGTGTTAACATAAAAGTGGCACCTTTCATGTGTGGATTTGCTGAGTTGGAACTGGGATTTTCAGCCTGATAGCCTCTCAACAAATATTTATAGGTGGCCTTAATTGCAAATACTGCTCAGGAGGCCATGGCGTTGCTCAGGATTTATACCTGTCCAATTAACAGTTGACATATTTATAATTTCATGTTTATGCCACAGATTAAGAACTTTGATATATTATTCTTACTAGTCGTCAGTTCTTGCCTTAGGTTGCATCTTGGGGGTTGGTGACTCTCCCTAAAAGTTAATGCTGTGGAAAGTGAGCAGAAATGCTAAATCAAGTGCAGGATCGAACTTCCTGGCATTTGTACAAGCCAAAGCTTCTGTCAGCTGTGCCAAGGCCCTGAGCACTGTGAATGCTGAATCATGAGCCTGGAGTAGGCAAGATTGCATGGAACTTTATAGACTCAGCAAATGAGCCACCTTTTCAGGACGCAGTAACCTGATCCAAATTTCTCACTAAGAAGCTTGGTCAATTTTTTTTTTTTTAAGAAGCAGAATAGCAAATTGGCCTCCAGAGGTCATTTGAGGTCCCCAAAGGAATCTTTATTATTAATAAGACACTTCAAATCTCATATCTGTTGTAACTAAAACAAAAACTATTTCAACTCTGGCAAAGGAAGTTGTGTTCACTGCAGTTTATTTTTGTGTTCACTGTTTTTCTCTCACATATGACCCATTTTCTCCAAACAGCTCATCTATCCAACTTACTTGCTTCATAGATAATGAATGAACATCTGTTTTTTATGTGTCTTTATTTAAACATACACCCAAAAAACCCAAGATGACATGGTGCACACTGTCTTGTAGCCAGATTTAAAAAATCTAACAATATTATAAATACTTTCTCATGCATTAAATAATTTTCTAAACATTTATTTTTAAAAACTGGATAATACTCTTTCTAATTCATTTATTATAACTTGTTTTAAGATCCCGTAATAGACATTTAAATTGTTTCCAGTGTTTCACTATACAAATAACTCCAAGGAAAGGCCTTCCAAATACATTTTGTGTACATTCTTTTTTTTTAAATTTTGCATACATCTTTAATAGTTACTTAAGGATTAATTCTGAGAATGGAATTTTTGGGGTCAAAGAGTTAGTACCTTTTTTAAAGACTTTTGGTACTTATACCAAATATTGTTAGCAATTTTT